ATCTATCTATCTATCTATCTATCTATCTATCTATCTATCTATCTATCATCTATCTCTAGCTAGCTGTCTGTCTGTCTGTCTGTCTGTCTGTCTGTCTGTCTGTCTGTCTAGCTGGCTAGCTATCTGTATCTCTCTCTCTCTTATCTTAACAATTGCAAGTTTTCCAAAATTTTATCCTGCAGGGCAAAATGTGTATTAAGATCAGCTTCCATTTTTAGGGAGAGGGTTTTATTCGCCTTATATAGCAGAAACTTACCGGGACGAAGTGAAAAGGGAGCCGTTGACGGAGCCAAAGCAAGACAAACCCACAAACACGGGGATAATCCAAGACATGACACCCAGGTGGTAATTCCCAAAATCCTATCGGCAAACAGGGAGGAAGAAGAGGGTCAAACATTCCACCTCGAAAGCTCCTGGAAGCCTACGGAGAAGGCAGGAGGGATGCAAAGGGCGCTAAACTTGGTTTGCAACCCGGCAGGGAAAACAGGGAACCCTAAAGATGCCTGTTCGAATTCTGCCCTTGCAGCAGGGTCCCCTTGGTTTTCCCACTCGGGGAGAGGGAGAATTACAAATAAACGTTTCATTGGATTCTCGGGGAGGGTGGGCAGTGTACCCCCTAGTCCCCCCCCCCCCCAAAAAAGGGGAGCCCCACCAAAAAAAGGAAGAAGTTGGAAGAAGTGGGCTGCGTTGAAACAGGCCACGGAGGAAAACGACAAAGCCGGAGAAGCTCCCTTGGTCTTGAGCAGCCCTTCCTGAACTGCTGCACTTTACCACGGCAACGGCTTCCGACACCAGCATCTCGTTGACTGACAAGGTGGTGAAGTAAGCCAGGTTGGTCAGCACGTAGACCAAGGTGACGATGGGCAGGGAAATGATGATGGCCAGAGGGAGGTTTCTGGAAGGAGACGGGAGAACAGAGCTAAGAGCGAAGTCTTGTGGCTTCCGGCCGGAATAATAGCCCGCGAGTCTACGCAGGCCGTCTTCTCCCCCACAGGTTTTGGAGAGTCTCACCTATAAGGGTTAATCATCTCTTCTGTGACAAAATTCAAGTAATTCCTGCAGTTTGAAAAGAAGGGGGAAAGGTTCTTGAGTTTACAACGCAGCGTTGTGATGGGGGGGGGAAATAATCATCTTGACTTTGTAGAGTGGGAACAACAACTTAGCACAGCTCTTTCTCTCACACACCAAAACAACAAAGCTCCCCAGATCAGGAGATCTGAAGATCCCTCCCTCTCCTTGCCCTGGGACTCCTTGTTCCTGACGGGAGGAGCAGGCTCTCCCTGTTTTGGAACACAGAGGTGCAAACCCAAGGACAGCTTCCCCCTGGCTCACTACTCTCGCCGTCCCCTCACGACTCACCATCCTCCGTAGGCAAAGAGGCCACTGTACAAGGCCAGGACGATGTTGCCCACGTCTGTTTTGGTGCCCTCAAAGGAATATTCGGGGCTGAGGTTGACGACATCACCTGTGGGAGTGAAGGAAGGTGAGCCAGGGTAAGCGGTGGGTGGCGGCTTTCCCCTGCTGCAAAGAAGCTGGGAAACTACGAGAACCGAAATGGGTTACAACTGCCATAACTGGAATTGGGAAAAATCTCTCTCGACGTTCATGAGCCCCAGAACTGCATTTTCCACATGCGCAGCAAAGAGGAAGGTTTAAAACAGGCCACTGGACCTTTGGAATTGCGTATGGCCCAAGACACCATTTGAAAGGACACCGTGCACAAATGGTGGGCCTCTAATTGCTTACTGGTTGCTTGCTGAAAAAGGCAGGAAAACGATTTGTGAACGTCACGCCCTACGGGGCTCGAAGCAAACCTGAGAGATGTTTCCCTTGGAGCCCCTGCGTACCCTGTGCGCTGGGAGCAGCCCCTCACTCGGGATCTGACATCAAAAACAGCGGAAGCAGCCCAGGAAAAGACGGAGAAAGGAAGCTGGGCTTACAATGGCCTCTTGTTGTGTTTTAAGGTTCTTTCAAGACGCTTGTGGTGTTTATTTTACTTGCAAGGAACCTTTGGCAGAAGCAGGATTGTGTGTCTTTTGATCTGAAGGCCACGCGCTTGTCCTAGCAGAGGAGGGGGGAGGGGTTATCCTCCTTGGAAGGAGCCACCAGGTAGGGAGGGGGCTTTGGCCAGGCCACCCCTCAACTGCCTGCCTCTCCAGTGAGTCCATCCTATGCCTCCTGCTGCATCAACAGTGAGAGCTCAACTCTTCATCCTCTTCTGAACTCTCCGTTCCATTAATTCATGGAAGGGCAGAAAGATGAAAAAATTGAGGTGTCCACCCCATCAAAGGAGTTTTCTCCCATTCACCACCAGTCAGGCACCACCGGACTCAGGCTGGTCAGTCAGATCAAGGACTTAAGAAAAAAAGGACAACTACAGAACCATCCAATGTGTCCCCTTCAAAGAGGTCCCTCATCCAAGACTGGAAAGCCACCCTGGGCCCCATCCCTTCCTTCTGTCCACCTGCCAGGAGGAGCCAAGGAGAGTTGTGGGAAGATGTCATGTCACCCACACAGAAGCTCCTGCCTCCAAGATCAAGTGATGGTGGGAACTTGACAGGTCCACCCACTGGGCAAAGCAACCACGTGGTTTGGTTTGGTGGACTTTGGCTCAGCACGTGTGTCAACCCAGGTCCTTGTGGTTTAGCATGGCCCACAAACTATGGTTAAGAGGGAGGAATGTGCCCAGTTAGTCGCCGAGATCTGCAGCACAGAGCCATCTCCACCAAATTAGCTATAATCTCCAGATGATAAACCCAATCCAAGGCGCCATGAAGTCATCCACAACATCTCCCAACCCTGGTCAGAAGGGGTCAGACACCTGTCCTCCTTGCTGCTATTCTGATCCCATCATAGTTGATGAGCCCAGGAGATGGTGCTAGAAGTTGCTAAAGACACCATCTTAGTGAACAATATCTCTGGCCACCTGCTGTTGCCCAAAATGGCCGCCTCTATTTATATGTCTGCTTGATCTCCCCAGCCTTCCACTAATATAGACTCAAGCAGATACCCAGAAGCTCTCTGGGGACTCCACAACTGGTGCCCAAACAGACCACGATAGTCCTGCCGTGGTGTCAGGCTCAACTACCTCTTTGACTCTGCTCTTCTCTAAAATTAACCAAAGCAGATTTGATAGGCTCCATCCTGCCAGCAACCCTTAAGTGGCCAAAACCGCATCCAGTGGCAACGTGCCCTTTCAATGAGAATATGGCGGTGTTTAGGGAGGGGAGAACAAAAATAGAGCCGCTGTCCCATTTCATGCCCGGGAGACGCATTTTTAGATCGCATCTGGACAAGTCGGCAGAAAGAGGCTGTTAAGGGAGATGATTGTAGCCGGCGGCATGGAGAGCCGCAGGAGCGGCTGAGGGAACCTGCAAGATGAAAGACAACCAGGGAGAGTTCAAAGGCTCGGTCTGAAATTGGGGTGGAATGTAATCTGGATTCCCAGGAGGGAGGGGCTGCCTCCCAGAGGGCAAAGAGGCAGCAGAGCTTGCCAAGTCTGGTAGGCAGGAGAAGGCTGAAGACGGCCCCTCCCTGGTAGTTTACAGGCTGCAGTTATGCAGCTGGTAGCCTGGCAAGCGTCTGTCTGTAGACGAACAACCATAAAGAAAGTGCACGGTGTCGTTTGGGGGACCTGGAAGAAATAACCTCACGCTGGGTGCTAAGCAGTCCTCGTACGGTCAGTTTTCACCCAGAGATGCAGCGTGCGTGGATTGAGGTTACAGATTTGAGAAACGGGCCGATCGTCCGTGGGACACCTGATCAAGATTAGCTCTTCCCCACCTGGGAAGAGCCCCCACCCCAAATAAGGTGGGGCCAACCTTCCCTCCAGACACTGCCCTGGTGAGCCAGGGCAAGATGGCATTTGGGCCAGGTAAGCAACGAACGAATCAGAGCAGATCCCTGGGTGCAGACTGGCACATACGATCCTGCCCGTGCAGGAGAAGCAACCTAGGCCCCCTTACGACGTTGGGGATGACAACTCCACGAGGGGAGGCTCCTGGGAGACGGAGCCCACAATAACAGAGACCTTCCAGGCTGGTCCACCACCACCACCACCACCCCTCCAGGAGTCGAGAAGATCCTTTCCTGGTCCCATCAGCAGATGCTGCCCGAGCTGCACCTCTTGCCTTGTTCTCAGGCATCCAACCCACCGGCTGTCCAGATGGCACAACACGCCCGATTCGTGTAACGGCAGGAAACGCAAGACCTGGCCGTCCTCTGTTTATGGAGCAATAAACTAATTTTCCCCACGCACTTCCCTACCGAAAAGGTGTGGTAGGCAAGACACCCACGGGGGCCTTATTATCCCCGTTGCCAAGGCCAGGACCACAACTACAATCGGAGGTGGCCCCACGGCCTCGTCTCTGCCGGGCTGGCCACAAAAATTCTTCTCCCAGCCGGAAAGCTGACGGGATTTGCACAAGGTTGGGAAAGCCCCCAGGAGGCTGTGGCCGCGGCTGCCTGGATTCCCACGGATTAAGGTGGGGCTGCCCCGCCCAGTGCAAGGGAGAGAGGCTCCTCTTCCCTGCCCTGGCTCCAAGAGGCGGCCTCCAGCTGGAATGAGCCCCCCCCCCTTCGCCCCTGCCCAATGCAAGCCATGCCAGGGGGTTTTCTCCGCCTCGGCTGGGTTTGTGGAATCAATGCAGGAGACAGGCTGGCTTGTCTCTTGGTCCTGGGTTGCCAGGACGGGATTCAGCTGGGAAGACAGGCAGAGCTGGCCTTGGAGGGCAGAGAAGGAAGGGAGGGGGGGGGGGGGGGGACACTTGCAGAGGGAAACTCAAAGCAACCCCACCGTGATCTCTTCGGGCATAAAACAAGCCAGAGAAACCTGGACAGGCTTTCAAGATCCTGGTTTTTTTCTATGCGGCAGTGATGAAAAACACCCCTGGGGAAGTCCCAACATTTGAGGGGGGGGGGGGGGGGGCGAAGATGCCAAGCTCCCAAAGGTGCTTTTTTATTTTATTTTTTTTCCTTCCCAAAAGGCAACTGGATTTTTTTTTTGTCTTTGAAAAGGTTTTGCTTCTCATCCAAGAAGCTTCTCCAGTTCTGACTGGAGGAGAGTGGAAGATAGAACTGAAGAAGCTTCTTGGATGAAAAGCGAAACCTTTTCAAGGGAGGAGGAGAAAAAACAACAACCAAGAAAGGCCTTTTGGGGAATAAACAGCACTTTGGGGACAACCGTGACCCCCTAACCCTAACCATGAGCTGGATGACAGAGAATCTCCACCGACAAAATGCCAAGTCTCTTCCCCATTTGCGAGGCAGGCGCCGGCCGGCTCAGACTCCGAGGTTCTGGTGAGAGCCTCAGGCCCCGGCAACTACCTTCGTGGCTGGGACCGCCTTCCCCTGTGGCTGCGAGGAGAACTGACCCGGGCGACGGGAGAGCAAGCCGGCTCCTTACAATCCGAATCCTGCCGCCAAATGCATCTTCGGCATTTCCTAGGGCTGGGGTCAAGGAGACGACCTGGACGCCATTCTCAAGGGGCAAAACGAATTGAGGCAAATTCTTCACCTGTAACGTTGAACCGAAGGTTCGCCCGGCCACCTCAGACGGTTTCATGCAGGTGCGTTTTTCTAGCCAACAGATTCTACATGAGCTTTCCGAGATCCAGGTCTCTTTGGAAGCCACCTCCAGGGATTTAAACCACTTGTGTTGTTGCGTTGTGGTTTCTCCAAGGGTGGCGGGGGGGGCGGGGGAGGAGAAAAGGAGCTAACTTGCGCAACGTCCCTCCTTTAAAATTGGATTTGCACGGGTCCCAGAGAATTCGTCTCCAGTGGAAGACAAACCGTCTACTGGAATGTAAGTTCTGGCGTGCAGGCAGACGGGGGGGGGGAAAAATAATAATAATTCCCTTTCAGGGAAGGAAAAGCAGTTCAGCAACTCTGCAATGTCCCCGCTTGACCTTCCATCTCTTTCAGGAAGAGAAAGGGAGGATTTCCCCCTGCAATGTGCGGCCGGTGGCTTATGTAAACCCCATCTCTTGGGGGGCGGGGGGGTTTGCAAGAGCCAGAGAAGCAATGTGCAAACTAAAAGCAGGGCTGGACTTTTTTTTGGGGGGGGGGGGAGAACAAATGTTGGGTGTGTCTTTGTCCAAGTCAAATTCCAGATGCAAATATCTGCCTTCGTTCTTTACCACAAAGCTCCATTTTGAATCACATTAGCATATTGTCTTTTGGCCTTACAACCTGGTTTACAAATGCACACACCTTCCTAAAACACCCCCCTCCCCCCCAGCAGTCTAAGAAGCATTTGAATAACTGTCCCTGTTCCCCAAGAGCTGGGACCCTAATGTTGTAGCCTGGAAATTACATTAACCAGTGTTTTTCAAACTTGGCAACCCTAGGGTCTGGGGACTTCAACCGCTGGTCCCTGGAATTCATGCAAATTGCAGAATTTGGATGAAAGATTCAAGGAACCCTCAGGGCTGTAGACTAGCCTGACAATGGGGGGTGGGGGGAGGAATCCCAGAAGAAGCCATCAAGTGGGAGTCTCCAAACCTGGCAACTTTAAGACTTGTGGACTTCAACTCCCAGAATTTCCCAACCGGGCAACCGTTTCTGGGAGTCGAAGTCCACAAGTCTTAAAGTTGCCGAGTTTGGAGACCTCTGCTGTAAAGCACTGCTGTGTGACTCCAAAAATTCTAGGTGGACTAACCCCTAAGGTTGAACTTGATCCAAGGAGATTTTGTCCTAAATTCTCCAGGGCTGAGCTGCATTATGAGAAAGGAAACTGCACGTGGGGTCTTCCAGAGGTAGAAAGAGGAGAAACAGAAGGAAGGGAAGAAAGGAAGGGAGGGAGGAAGGAAGGAAGGAAAACCTTCTATAAGGACAATGAGATCTGCATTCTTTTCTTGTTAAACAATCATGCCTTAGATTGCTGTAAAGGGTTTCACTCCCACCTTAATTCTGCCCCACAAAAGGAAACTTTATTTCTTCCCAGAGTTTCCTATCCTCCTTATCTGCTCATCACTAAGTAAAAAAATAAAATAAAAAATAAAATTGAGGAGCCATTTATGCCAATGGCGAGGCGTTCCCTAGAGTTTTGTGCCACGAGGTCTTCCCCGTGAAGAGGGAAGTAGCACAATGAACAAAGTTAGCTTTATTCTTTAAAGAATAAACATAAAGAAAGAATGAAGAATAAAGCCTCCGGACTTCCTTTAGAAATCTTAATTCCTCCCCCTCTCTCTGGATCTCCTGGGTGTCTCTGTTGCAGCCTGAGAGACCTCTGCCCTATTTTTTACATAGTCCCATATCCATCCATCTACTCAACCCACAACCATCCATCCATCCATCCATCGATCAATCCATCCATCCATCCATCAGTCCAGAGCTACAATGAACCCTGATGAAGTGAACTGTAGCTGATGAAAGTTTATGCCTATTTTGCCTAAAAACATTAAAATGCATTAATTGGAAAAGGTGCTAGCACGCGCCTCCTAATTTTTGTGACCCACAAGTAGCTTGTATGTAGAGAGGAAAGGAGATGACTTTAACGGACATACGGAAGAACCGCCATCTAAGGGGCTTCCCTAGAAGAGTTGGAAAGGTGTCTCTGGATTTAATCTTGAACCGGGGCTTTCAATGCAGTGGAAAAAGCCAGAATGGCTGAAATGTTTTTGAAATGACACCCTGGGCTGGATTTATAAAAAAAAAAAAAAAAAAAGGTCCCCAAAACACTTTAGACTTCAAACAAGGAAACTCTGTCCAAAACAAGAGGTTTGGTGATAAGGAAACCAAACAGGAATGTAGAAGGGGCCAGACTGCTCCAAAATGTCAAGACTTACTCAATTGCACAATGACAGAAACTCAAGGAGAATGTGTGTCACAGGTCAGGAAAAAAAAAAAAATACACGACCGAATGGAAGGTTATTTGAAAAAATGGGAGATTTCCTTTGAAATATTGAAGTCTTGTCTAAATAAAGAGAGGAATAAAAAGGAATACGACCTGAGACAGGAGGCAGGAGGGGTGGGGGGGAGGAGGGATTAACAAGCAGGATTGCAAAATGAGGTATTTGACGTATTTAACGTTCTCCCGTAAAACTAAGAATCGAATTCATCTTTGACCAGAATTGGGAATCTGGTTAAGGGCCGTGGATAAAAGGGGAGTTACAGATATCCCAAAGCAGGGGTGCCCATCCTTGGGAACTTTTAAGACTTGTGGACTTCAACTCCCAGAATTCCTCAGCCAGCAACGC